GTCACGTACCTCAAAACTTTATTTGAAACACCTTAAGAAGTTTAATAAATTCAATAAAACTCTATCAGGAACCATAAACAAGAACGTCTTTCCTTTGTTTTTATGGCTTTAATCCACTTTGGAGTGATTTTTTCCCACTTGGCTGGACCTGTACGTCTCCTGTGTTAATGTTGGTACATGTAATATGTTAATTCTGCACTGTGGAGATCATTAAGAGTCGTCGAAGGAAAAAATCTTTTGCTAACGCAGTGTTGCCTGCGAATCGAAAGTGCTAGAAYGGAARTCTGTGGCATTTAGGCTATTAGAAAAGACAGGAGAAACGATAGGAAACCAAGATGGTAAAGATAATAAAAACAATAAAACAAATCAACAAGTTGTTGTTTGAGCTTGAATAAAACAACAAATGATCCAAACTCAAGTATGAGAATACATTTAGTATGCAGTCATTATTAGTCACTGTTCAGCTGGTTCTGAGTGCACATTTGTGAGACTACTCATAAAAATCAAAGTAGAACCGATTTAAAGTGAGATCAATAAACATGTTTTTTTTTTGTTAAGTGCACCTACACACACCAGCTGAGCAATTTGCCTACCGGGGCTTTATCAATAGCCACCATATGCTTGACAGGAAGAGACAAAAACAGTTATACACTTGGAGAAACACAGATAAAACCTGGCTGTGGAGCCACCAGGAGGAGGTGGTGGTGTGCTCTACACCTGGCATCCAAACACAGCAGATCTTATCCATTAACCATCTGCCTCTCTCTGGCTCCGTGTGGCCTCTAAACAGCTCAACTGTCTCCAAATCAGCAACTGTAGACGGTGATCATAGAAGCACAGCGGGGACAGAGCCCGGGAGGACAGGGGAGGCAGTGCTTAGTAACACACACCAACCCAACGAAATCACACAAGTTAATCCGTCGGTGAGGTTTACGATCCTAATCTCTGATCATTTGTTGTGAGAGCAGACACCTGAATGACAAACTCAGGAGGAAAGGGATTCACAGATTTATTTTTTACAGTATAATCTTGTGTTCGAACCAGAAAATGTCTGGAGAAGTTCTGAAAGGTGCCGACGCAGCTACTGCCCAAAATCCCAACATGACTTTGTTATAATTTAAGCTACAAAAAAGTCCACATTTTGTAATAAAATGCAATAAACTGTAAAAGACAGGTAAATGAAACAAGTTTTTACAAAAATACACAGTCACAATATAAAACTAAGTCAGATCTGAAAGATACTACATTTAAAGTAGACATRTCATGATTTTAAATCCTCCTTTTTCACTTTTAAATCTTTCAGTTGGGTCTATATAAAGTGGAACTACAATGCTTTGATCGGAATTCCTCCTTAYTGTAACTCCACAAACCCCTCTTTCTTYCCTTTTCAGAGGTGTGTCTCAGATCAACTCGTTTTGAGGTCGTCTCCTTCAAACCCCGCCCACCTCCAGCTTCCAGAGCGATCCGTTCCAGTTTCATAGAGGGGTTTACGACTATATAGCAGCGCAAAAACTGTTTTATTTACAATTCAATTAAAAGATGTCAACAATGGAAGACTGGATTTTGCATATGTCTCATTTAAAAAGACCTTTCACTTCCAGTTTTAGGRGAATATTTGAGCTAAAATAGAAAAKTCTGTGAAAGCTAGGTTGTCCWMTTTCTGCACTCTGAGAATTTGTGAGAAGTCCCATGGCAGAGAGAGAGACACACTGGACAAAAGAAAACAAAAAAAATCTTGTTTTGATGTATAATTTATGTACCAAAAGGAGTTGTGGGAGTAAATCAGTAAAGTAAATATCTGAAGATTTTCGACAAACTTTATTGACAATAAATAAACAAACAAACAAATAATTAAATGTAAAAAATGAATCAGCTGGTTAAAAGGACAAGTAAATAAATAAGGATATAT